AATAGGGAAAATGTAAAAGTTATGGTGTGCCTATAGGTAATTTCCTATACATTTTCTATCGGGCTGTATCCGGAAAAAACCATGGACAAATGCACATATTGAATCCGGTAGCGCATGATAGATTATTTTGTATAGGTCTCTATGGGGTATATTAAGCAGGGCTATGCTATGCTTTAATAACTAAAAAAATCACAAATTAGGAACTCTTCTGATCCGATAAAATAGAAAATAAAAGGAACTTTCTAAAAAAGGAACATTTTTGTTTCTCTTTCTCTTTAATACGTAAGTAGTTGATTTTTGATTTTAATGATTTTATATTTAAATATAATTAATAAATAATAAAGTACGTTGACAGTCTTGAGGTTTTTATTTTTTTTAAACTTTTTTTTGTAATAAAAATAATAAAATATGTGCGCCCGGGGGGGGTCCGGACCCGGCGGACCCCCCCCTAAATACGCCACTGCTTATACCACTTGTAAACTCTTGTTTTACTTATAGCAGACTCACCTAGGCCTTTGTTAACATTTCACAGAATTTATTTCATTTTTTAAGCAAAATTGGAAACAAATTCTTTGATCCATTTCTTTTAACGAAAAATCGCCAGTTAAAGTTTTTATCATACTTCGGGGGCATGTATACCAACATAATAAAGAAAATTTTATGACAACCGGACCCTCTGAACCCGCGAAATTTAACAATTCCCGTTATTTTCTGAAAACACCTCGTACATTAGAAGCATTTTTAACAGTTATTTATCTATCAAGGCATTAAAGTCTTATTTTTATCACGAATGTGGAAATTAATTGCAGAGGCGAAAGCCGAGGCAAATAATCACGTGAGTGATAAAAAAGGACTTTAATAGTGAAAATTAAATTTTATCCGAAATCACATTTAATATTACTAATATTATATTACATTTAATATTATTAATATTACTATTAATTATAATTAATATTGATGATTAAATCAAATGTCATTTGATGACCAAATCAAATGTCATTTGATGATCAAATCAAATATCATTTGAATGTAGGAAGTGTGTACGTATACTGTTTGTTGCGACGGTTATGATATATTTGCCCGCCGCGGCGATTTTTTAATCTAATTAATAAAATTTACTTATTATTTTTATTAAACAACATTTTATGAAATGGTCCAATCGACCTCATATATTTAGTTGCTGCTGGGGAGCAGTAGACACATCTTAAAATGTATAATGGGTTGCCTACATTACTCGTATTAAATCGGCAGTAAAGTTCTTCTTTACTGCCGATTGTTGCTACTTTACTGCCAATTTCGGATAAAATCATTTTTAAATCACGGACTTTTAAATTTAATAATACACTAAACTATAATCCCAAAAGGTATACATGAACATATTACTGAATTCAGAATTTCATGATTTATTCGAATCTGCAAAAAAAGGGGGTGAAATTGAAAAAAACGGCCTATTAAAAGCAAAATCGACATCTTCAAGAGATTTTTTGGTGAAAAAAGGACATGAATGAACTTGTTCAATTATTTTGTATAAAGCCTTTTTTGATTATACGAACTAATCTTGCATTTGCATTAGGTACAGAATTTATCTTAACAGTAGTTTTGGTGTATATTAGACGTTGAAGGTGTTATGTCAATTAACGGGATTGTTAGCAAAACTGGCAACTAAATAATTCAGGTACTAATGATGTGTCATTATGTTTAATTTACTTTCAAACAGGCGAAATGAGCAACAGAACTTTACAAAGCGGAAATTTAATGAGTCCAATTGTTTCGGAAATTAATTGGCAGGAGAAGGCGACTTTGATTCGACCGGCGAAGTGAAAAAACAATATTGCAGGGATCTTTAATTCAATATTTCGCCTTCTACCCTGAATTTTGTTATTAAATTGATTGACGATTTTTTGACGGTATCAACTTAAAGATCTATTTTTAAGATAAGAACAAATAGTTTGTGTCAGTTTTTGCTTGTTTTTTTTATTTTATAGGATCTGGGTAACCAAAAGTTATCTTTTTGGTTTAGTATTAAATTTTATGCTTAAGACGATACATAAAATAAGTGATTCGGTGAAATTAAGAACAAAATTTTTATTTTGGTAAATCATTTTCTAAAATCAATTTAAAAGTTTAAAATGCTTTTTTGTAAGATATTATATTTTATAAAATATGATTGTATTATTATATGTTTTAACGTACTTGAAATATTTTCAGAAAAATGCAGTTTAAACTATAAAACTGATTTTATAAAATAATTTGTCAAAATTTTAACTTTTGGACTTGTACTGTTCTTAATATGACCGATTTAATTATAAAAACAATTAATAAAAGTATAAAGTGGGGTTAGAGGCTAGATTAGAATTTTGTATTGGTCCTAACGGGTCTTTTACGGACTAGGATGTAAAAAAACTTCACCTGGTTGGTCTAAATTATTCTTACAGCTCAGTAGATAATCAAATACTTTAATAGTGAGCGAGTGTTTAATAAAAACTAGTGTCTAGAGAAGTTTATAAACAAGTTGCATACTATTCTTTATTTACGACGAACACAAAATAAAATTTAAAGCCAATTTTATTTGTTGAAAATTTGACATCTGTCAACTGTTAAAAGAGACTCAAATCATCCGAGTGTATAATGCGCATAATCTCGAGTGTAATACTATGCTTTATCTACTCCAATAAGTATATTATTAAATGATTTTCAAAAATAAATTAACTAAATCTGATATGTGTCAAATGGTTAACCTTACTTTTTACCAATTTTAATTATTATTATAGTCGCCTTATCCCAATTTAAAACCCGATTGGTTCAAATCACAGTGAACATTAAAATGGGCCAATCACTGTTGTCTAACAAAGTGAATAATGAGTTCATTATTCTTGTTATTATGCAGGGAATTTATAATGTTTATCATTATATACGCAAAAAATCAATATTATGCAATAGGAGTAGATAAAAGCATTTTTAAAATATTTATTAAAAAAAGAAACAAATAATTGCCAGTAAATTTTGATTTTTTAAAGTAATTAAGTTTTAAGTTTTTTTAAGTATTTGTATCAAAGCATTTTTTTTTCAGAAAAAAGGCATAATCCAGTATGTATAAACTAATAATTATTCAGCAAGTAAAGAAAAAATCCTATTTCATTGCGTCCGCATAAAAAATTCAATAACATTTTTAATAAAACCTTGGTCCAGCACACGTTATACCTGAGAGGCCTGGGGCTTGTAATTAGTCGCTTTAAAAACGTTTCCACGCAAAGGTGCGGCTTTTTTTTTTCCTTGAAAAATGTTTTTCAGTATTGACTTTAGGGGGTTAAGTTTAGAGCCCGAGGCTGCATTCAAAAAAACAACAGATATTAAGTTTATAAAATGTTGTGCAGGCGCTTTAGTCACAGCAGTTGTGATTTTAATTTTTGTAAAGTTGCACTAAGAAATTTTTTTAATAAATATAACAAAAAAAGTAGTTGGTCTTAATAAAGTAAAGGTCCCAATTCGTCCAACAATTGCTTTTGTTACGGCAAAAAGATCATTTTTATAAAAATTATTTATCTACAAACGCTGCTTTCAGTAATACCATTTGCATTAATTATAAAGTAAATGTACTTTATGTTTATAAAAATAACACTTTTCCAGATACAGAAACGCATTGATAAATATAGTTATTATGATTTGTCCAAAAAAACAGTTCTATACCGTTTACAAAAACGTTTTGGAGTATTAATGAAACCCTAATTTTGTAAATTTTACAAATCCCTTTTCTTTTTATATAATATTAATAAAATTTATGTAAAATTAACAACAAATTAATTGTTAATTTAATAAACTATTTTCATTTTAACAATGGTCACATTTTCAACCTACTGTTGGGTGTTGGGTAGTTTTTTTTTAAATAATTGCAAGACAATAAAACAAATTATTTATTATAACAAAAAAATTAAATCATATTATATGATGTACAAAATAAAAAAAATATGAACGCATCTTTTAAACAATTAGGTTTTTGTCCCAATAAGACACTGAAAATTTAATAAAAAAGTTACCTTAGGTGGTACATTTTTTATAGCCATTACAATTTTAAATTTAAGTTAAATAATATTATTTTATCTTCAGGCGGTCTATAATTTAAACCTTATTGTTGTCAACATTCGATAAAGAAATACCTTGTTATGATCTAGGCCGATAAAAAATTTTATGAGGCAAGTAATTAGTTCGATTTTTTCTCGCTAGGGGTATTGTTTTGACAAATTAATCCTTTTCTAAGAAATTAACGTACTAAACTGGTTTAATTTATTTATAATAAGCACTTTGCAACATTTGTTTGTTTTACTGTTAATGTTTAATATTTTTCATTAAATTATTGTAAAATTAAATATGAATAATAAAACAAAAAGTGCGGTTGGGCAACCAAGAAAACGCACGATTCTTTTTCTACGATTTAAATTATCTTTAAGTTTTAATTTGCTTTTAGTTTTCAGTGAAATTAAATGTTAAACACAGCTTAAACATTCCAAACTACATATTTTTTAAATAAAAATCCAAACAAATTGAAATTGAAATCAGATACCTACCTATTTATTAAACAATTAATTGAATTCAATGTAATAGCAAAAATCCATTTCTACTTAAATCATGTTGCTAGGTATTGTCAAACTATTACTGCTTCTAAAAGCAATAATAATTATTGAACATTTAATGTAATCTTTAGCTAATAAATAAATGAGATTCTAAAAAAGTGAGGTTAGGCCGCTTTGATGTTGAATTAAATTGACCTATATAAAGTGCTTTGAAGATAAAATGTTGTATGCCATTCGGCCAAGAAGTGCCTTTTTGTGCTTCGCTCAATTGAGCTTAGCACAAAAAGCCTTACTTCTTAACCTAATGACATAAATAACTATTATTAATCGCTTACAAAATTAGTTTTATTATAAGTGCATGTCTATTTTTTGCAGGATCTACAGCAGGCATGCAGGTCAGCCCGCTGATCATGGGCCTCCTGGGCACGGCAGGAATCCTGGCCACCGGGGTCTGCCTGGTGCTGGCCGCCCTTTGCCGGCGGCACTACTCGCGCCCCTGTCACCGAAACGACGGCGGCACCAAGCACGTTCCCATGGAGGCGGTAATCAATGCGGACGATCTCATCGTGGACGGCTCGATTACGGGCGTCCGCACGCCCGTCCTGCAGGATCAAGTTTTTACCGCCGAGGCGGTCAGGAACGGATCGTCCGTCGAGGCCACCGATCCTGACATAATCAGGAATCAATACGGTGAGTTTTATTTTTTAATCCATGAAGGTAACTCTTTGAATTGAAAGAGTTTTTTTGTGCATACTGGACAGAAAATTTTGAGATGGGTCTGTTCATAAACCAAGTGGGTCTCTTGGGGAAATCTCACAACGGTGGACTGGAATGGCCAAAAAGTGGCCAAAAAGTGGCCAAAATTCATTTAAAAAAAAACTAATTGAGATATCACTATGAAATTTTAACGCCATATTTTTGTGTTATTATTCTTGATCCTGTACAAATTTTAAATCAATTGGCTCAGTTTTTATAAGGGATTAAATGATGTCTGTTTAAACAAAAATTATTCTAAAAAATATTTTAAATGTCACTAAGTATACAATTTTAATACGTTGTAGAACTCACTTATGGAATAAAATTCGTTATTCGTTGAGAAAAGATTTTTATGAAAAGCGCTCGGACTTTAGTTTTTTATTCCAAATCTTATAATGATAATTTTAAATTTTATGCCCCCACCATTTTCCCCCCCGCATATTAGGCACCCTTATCTTAATTAACAACCCCACTTTTTTTCATCGAAAATTGATAGTGCACATTATGACGATACCATATAAGTAGGGTTTAGTAAACATTTTTCAAAACAGGGTGAAAATATAATGACAAATTAAAAAACTTTAACTTTTTATTTTAAAATTTATTAAAAATTTAAAAATAAACTGTTCTTCAATCTTATAAATGTTCAAAATGTCCCCGGTCCACTTCCTGACACTTTAGTAATCTACTGTGAAATTGTTCCCGCACTCTGTTTAAAACCTCCGGTGTTATGTTCCTAATTTCTCCAGTAATTCTGTTTCTTAATTCATCTAAATTAGCAGCCTGTTTTTTGGATATCCCCATAGAAAAAAGTCTAGAGGTGTTAAATCCGGTGATCCTCCTGGCCATTCTATAAAACCTCTTCTTCCGATCCACCTGTGTGGAAAGGTGTCAAATATTTTAATTTAATTAAATCAGTGGCGGCGACAAATAATTCAACAAACTTATACTAAAATGAAGGAAATTATAGCATTTTGCATTCGATAATATCACAATATAATAACAGGGTGCATCAAGCAACGTATCTTTTTTTTTCTAAGAACTACAAGGCAACATTTAACCAATATGTAAAAAGAAATAAATAGATAAAGCGCCATAAAGCCACAACTTGTCAGTGTGTATTTAAACATGTACGATAATGGGCGTTTTAAGCCCCCAGTAATAGCCATAAATACATTCACTGTGTATATTACAAAAGGTTAAAAAAACTTCCAAGGATATGATCAAGACACATAAATAATGTAATAAAGAGGCAGACTCGTATCTCAAAAATTATTTTAATACTCTTATACAAAGAGGCAGGTCCTACGTGCTGTGTGGGCCCGACAGAGCAAGAATGATGCGTTTTTTTCGTATTTTTTGCAGAAAGGCGACCCACGCACGGATTTATGAAAGTATACGAGCCGCCTGGGTCCAGAGAAGACGACGAAATCGACGAAGAAAGTGAAGAGTACGATTTTAGACGCGTTGCCAAAGAATCCCACATCCCCAATCAAACGGTAAGAAAAAGTTATAATATTTAGAACAGTTTGGGTCCACCGATAATTACCTTTAAAGATGGCACTCAAAATTCACATGTGCATTTTTTTTTAATGTAAATTTTGAGTGCCATCTTTAAAGGGCAGTATAATCCTTATAAAGAATTTTTGACCCCATATTCTTAGGAACTTTTGGAATTCGGGAATTTAAATTAAAAAACATTTTTTGCATATTTTTATTTTTAATTATTTTCAATAAATTTTTTTTTTTTTTTAATTTTTTTACATATTTTTCGAATAGAAACATATTTTAACTCAAAAAACGACCGAACCTCATATTTGCTCTTACTTTTAAAATGATAAATTAATTTATTAAATTTTAGGATGCCAAATTACAAAAAATAAATAAAATAATATAACGTTAAAGTTAAACTTAATAGTTAAAAACTAAACATTTTATAAAATAGTTGTAGTTTTTTAATAATTAAATTTGTTAAAAAGTTTTTTCCTTATACAGGTTGTGCCATAAAGGTTGGGAAAAATTTAAATTTTGATTTCCTTTGTAAAAAATAATAGTTTTTTTCTTATAAAGTCTTGCTCTACGAGTGGTCGTTTTTAAGTTAAAGGTAGTTACAAAAATGCAAGTAAATTTAAATTTTGTTTAATACTTTTGTTGAACACTAAAAAATAAGAAAACGAAATCTTAGCAATACTATTGTAGAATAAAAAAGAAAAAATATGATATTTACTTGTTTCAAAAATGAGATTTCAATAACAAAAATTAAATAAAATGTGCTCAGAAATCTAAAAAAAATTTATAATCCAATTTTATAAAAGAAAGCCGTTGACAAAATAGATTTAAGTCTAAATATAAAAAAAAATGCATTTTAACATTTAAATAAATAATAAAAACTACCAAGTAATAAATAAATAAAATTAAATGGTAAAATAAAAGTTTTTGTTTTTTTTAATATCTGATGTATCCAAGTACATTAAATTTTTTTATCGAAATCTCATATAGGGTTTTAAAATTTCGGGAAAAATTGTGCCGGTGGAAAAACGGAAACATTGGAAAATTTTCAGAAAAATTTACATTTTTTTCATTTTATTAAAAGGATAAAACAAAAAAAATGCAAAAGAATTTTTTTTTCAAAAATTTACAAATTTTACTTACATATATGTAATATCCGAGAAAAAAGTGAATTTCCGACGCTGATTATAATCATATAATATTATGATTATAATAAATATTCCTTTTATTTTATTTCAGTAAGAATATTCTACCGGGTCGCAAAAAAAACAGTTAGTTTAGTTTTATTTGTTTTTTTTTCTGTAATAAAGAATTTTTTTTGTTGATTAAAATAATGTTACAAAATATACAATTTTTCCCAAAAGAGTCAATTTTTCCAAGGCCTGGGAAACAAACGGAAAAAACCGTTTTTTCCCCAAATTTTTCCATTTTTTATTGGACACTTTAAAAAACTAAAGTTATTTAATATTTTTGTTTTTATTCTACGATAGTATTGCCAAATAAAACAATTGACAAGATTTTAATCTTGAAGCATTTTCATGTTTTCTTTTTCTGAGCACCCTGAAGATTTAATTTTAGAAATTATTTTGGAAATCAAATTTTTTAAACAAGTCGGAGTTATTATGAATTTCCTATTGCCAACTTGATCCGGAAACACACTGTATATACTAAAATAAATATTTGTTAATTTGTTTTAAAAGTGGTTTTTAATTTTAGACAACATTTAACCATTGCTTTTCTTTGTATCTTTCTGTTTTTCAGTAATTAAACATTGTGTAAATTCTAGTTTAAACACTATACCCAGGTAAATGAAGGTAACAGGAACGTAATTGAGCCAGGCATTACTAAATAAAATATTAGCCAACACTTCTTTTCCTTATCTCCTGGAGTTTTCAACACCGTTTTATTTTTTTCCAACATTTATGGTACAATAACTTATTATTGTATATAATGTTTTATAAACGCCATTTTAGTTACGAGTTTTTGAATTAATAAATATTTTACATCTGACGAATTTAACCTAACTTTTTTGCAATTCATAATAAATCTAACTTCAGCCCGTGACTAAAATACCCAAAAGCCACTGTTGTTGCCTTCAGCTCGTGACTAAAACGCAATTAAGTCACATCTTGTCAATGTAGGAGTAGAAAATAGGATATAATGTATCAAGTTTTATAAACGTCATTTAAGTTACGAGTTTTATTATGCACGAGCGAAGCTTGCGAACGAGTGTCTGGAGAAGTTTAAAAAACGAGTTGCATACTATACTAAGTAAAGTACTCACTTTCTCCCAAATTTATAACAAAGCCAACTTCAGCCCGTGACTAAAATGGCCGAAAGCTAGCTTCAGCCCGTGACTAAAACTTTTTAAAGCTTATCAATGTGGGAGTAGATAAAATATTTTACCATACATTTTGGTAATTCGAATATTTTATTAATTAATTAATTATTGATCCCGGCGAATTCGCCATTTTTAAAACAAGTCCTATAAATGTATAAAATATTTCTTTTTAATTCAAACTTATCTAGAAAGCAATAGCATATATAGAAAGACTTGTTTGAAGTTCAAAAGTCAAATTATTTTACACCGCCGTACAATAATGAAAATACATTGAAATTACATCTATATGTCGCAAACTTAATAATAATAATAATAATAATAATGTAATAATAACGGTTTTTTTCATTAATTTAACATTTTTAATATTTATAATTATTATCTGATTTATTTTTTTGATTCAATTTACCTATTTGATATTATATTTATATTTTCCTTCGACTTATTTATTTGTGAGTCAATATAAAAATATTAATTAAATGGCAATGTCTCGAGTATCTGTTGAATCACTTATCTCACATCTTAAGTATTAAACTGTATTTTGATTTTATTTATTGGGTTTCAGGTCTATCGTAGCCTGCAGAGGCCAAGTCGAAACCCCGTAGTTCCCACAATCCCCGGAACACAAACACTCATGCACAAATATCGGGGCCCCGAGGTCGTAACGACCTCGAATAGAATACAAGAAAGTTGCATATAATTGTGTCATTGTTTTTATCATGTATTATATTAATGTATTTAAACGAATAAAAGGACTTTGTGTCGACAATATAATTAGTGTTGAGGTTTTTATTTATCAACTACCTTTATTCATCCAAAGTTTCGAGGTAAGTATTAAAATTAATTAAATGTAACTGAATCTCCTAAATTTTCGTAAACCGCCAAAATTGTATATTTTTTGTGCACATTTTTGGATTTTTTACAAGCATGCATGCAATTTGTAAATTTCTCACCTTTAATAGAAGAAAAAAATATGGACGATTATTAACAAATATTAACAATGGCGTTGGATCATGCATTTTTTTATTCTTTATTTGTAATCTACGCATATTTAAAACGTTTTTCTATGTTTCTCAAACAATTTTTAAGAACGCTACAACGTTTTGAAATGATGAAGAGAGCTACGACGTCACGATGTTATAACAGATGTGTTAAGAATTACGAAAATTTTGATTAGTATGATGAAATTTTCCATAAAAAACATAGTGCAGTTTGCTGTGTTTGATATTGGAAATTTTGTGAAATTTCGAAAACTTTGTTCGAAATTTTAAAATTTACGTGAAATTTTAGATGTTTTAAAAATATTGTGAAATTTTAAAAATGTTGTATATTTAGGAAAATGTACCTAAAGTAATATGGTTTAGATTTTTTACTCAATTATTTCAACTGTAAATTTTACGAAATTTGACTTAAAAAAATAGTGGTTTGCTGTGTTTGAAATTAGACCTTTTAGGCCGTGATTTCTAGGTTATGTTTAACATTTAAATCGTTTTAAAATCAAAATAAAGTACATAGTACAGGTCTTAATTTTTATTTAAAAAAAAATACGTTGTTTTATAACAAGTAAAAAGAAAATAACTGTCAAAGATTTTAATTATATTTGAAATATTTAGTTTTGCACAAACTTTGTTCGTAAATCTTAATACGCCTATTATACATAGAAATATACCAATATTATATTATAATATCATTTATATTATAATAATTTATCGACTTTCAATGTCATTTTAGAATAAAAGTTGTTTTACAATTATTTTCTAAATAATGTTATAATTATAAATTTTGAAAAAATTGTCAAATTTGCATTTTTAAAATTTTTTTAAAATTTCAATTTTTTTATATATTCTGGAAATTTTGTGAAGTTTTAAAAATTTTGTGAAATTTTGAATATTTTGTGAAATTTTGTAAAACTTTGTAAAATTTAGATATTAAGTATAATTTTTTTTAAATTTTCTAAAATGTACCTATAGTAATATGTTTTTTTTTACTCAATCATTTCAACTGGACACGTATTATCACGAAAATGTTGATAAATTTTATGAAATTTCTAGGTTATGTTTAATATTTAAATCGTTTGAAAATCCAATTAAAGTACATACTACAGATGTAAATTTATATTATAAAAATATATTTATGAACTTTAAACTAAAATACGCTGTCAAAGAATTTGGTTGTGTTCGAAATTTTTAGTTTCATTCGTAAATCTTGATACCTACCAATATACCAATATTATATTATAATGCCACTTCTATTATAATACTTTTTCGATTTTTAATGTCATATTTAAGGAAAAATTGACATAAAAAATCTTTTATGGTTCTTTCTAGTGACCAATCCCTACAATAGAATGTTTTTTAAATCAAGTTATGAACAATTGTTAAATTTTTTAAAAATTCGAAAATTTTGGATATTTTGAAAATTTTGTGAAATCTTAAGAATTTTGTAAAATTTTGAAAATTTTTGTAAAATTTTAAATATTTAAGATATTTTCAAAACTGAAATTTTGAAAGTTTTGGAAAATGTACCAATAGTAATATATATATATATACTTAATCATTTCAACTGGACAAGTATTATTACAAATATTTTAATAAATTTTATGAAATTTGACTTAAAAAATAGTGGTTTCAAATTAGACATTTTAATATAAGCCCGTTATGTTTAATATTTAAATCGTTTGAAAATCGAAGTAAATAATAATATATTATCGATTTTCAAGTCAAAAAAAAATATACAAATATTTGTTTCCATTTTATTTTTATGTAATAAATAAAAGTATAGGTATAGTAGGCAGAATAATATAAAAAAAATTAAAATCTAGAAGCATTGTGTTTCTCTATCCGCTTCAGTATTTATTTGTAAAATATACGATCTCGTGTAATATATTTTCACACATTTTACGATCTTTTTTGAAAAGATTTTTATTCAGTCGATCAAATTTATCTATACCTTGATATTTTTACGTAAGATCAGTTCTATTCCACAAGTTCATATACGGAAATCGTAAATTCAGCAAATTTATTGAAACCGGTGCATTATCCAAGGTATAAAAATGGTGCACACCAAGCGAACATCTATGAAATATAGCGCACAAAGAAACAACCACTATTCGGATAAATGCAAAATACAAATTTTACTACCGGCTTGTGTAACATCCTCCACTTACATCCCATGCTCTCTTTTATTCTAAATCTGACAAAAAATTTACATACGAAACCATGAAGACATAAATAATATACATTAATGTTAACAAAATACTACACTGTTCAAAATTTCATGACCATTTTAACACCAAATTAACATCATACATGGTCTATATCGATAAAAACCAAAATGGTGTTAAATATGGTTCGTTGGTCCGGTGTAAATTCAAATAGTGTTAATTTTACTTTCACACAGTATTAAAATAAATTTTACCTGGTGTAAATTGAACTCCTTTTCAGTGTTAAATATTATGTGTTTGTGGTACGTCAAATTAAATCATACTAGACAGAAAAAAGGAAAAAAAGGAAACAGTTCCTTGACTCATTACTAGTATATTACCAGTGGTATTATTCCAGAAAATGGAACCTTCAACTCGCTAGAGATAATGTTTTTAGTTCGTTCCACTAACTTAAAATACTTCAAGTATTGACAGCTGTTTCCACCTACTTAAGGTCCCTTTAGTATCGAACAACTTGTAGTGTCACACCAAAGCAAAGGACTTCCTGAGCTTATATAATCTTCATGTAAGTCAACAGAGGCGAGATTTAAGAACATCACGTGATCCACACCACCTTTGCCGCAATAGGTACACACTATGCAACCGGGAATACACGGCAAATTGTTTTAATCGTTTTAACAGAGTGCTTTAGGTTGAAGTAACTCTTATTTTACAACAACATATTTAGTAAACTGAACCATACAGCGGGTTGGTTTTACTAAAGTTTTCTGGGTTAATTAAACCAATTTAAAAAAAAAATAACTATCTGGTTTAGTACCGTCAGACTAATCTTTGTTTATATTAACCTTCCCACAGTTGATAAAAATAAAAAAAATACAAAAATAAATACGTATGGGTCAAATAAATTAATAATTAAATGAACTATTCCTTTTTTTCTGTGTAGGTGCACTTCTCAAATATTTTTAGATAAACACCGTTTTGGTGTTTGCTGTATATAACATTTTCAACCATAATTCATGGTGTTATATTAACACCACTTGGTGTTGGATTTTGACACCATTTTATGATTACTCTTTACACCACAGATATTTTAAACAGTGCACTTAATACTGCGAAGAAGTATTTTAAAGGTCCTTCTACGGTTATGTGAAGAAAACGGCGGGACAACGTTCAGTTATTATTATCTTTGGCTACTTAAAAGTTGAATAAAATTTTTAGAAGATCGCAAATATTGGATTTTGCTCGAGGGACATACGACGGTCATGTAAAACAGGAGTTTTAAAACCAAAATTAAAAAATAAATTTATAGGATATTGAACTTTTGGTATTATAAATCGATAAAAAATGTGCCTGTCTGGTAAAATGTAACAAAAATTATGGCTAATATAAAGGTTTTAGTTTTAATACCCCAGGGACATGGTATCTTAAAAGTTACTGAAAACCACCCATATACTTAAAAAATAAGCGACTGTAAACAATATCATAAATCGAATTATCTAGTTGCTTGAGCAAAAATGGTAAAATGTGCGTAAAATTTTTTTAAAATAGCAACCGTAAAAAGTATTAAACTAAAAAAGCGTGCGATGAAATGGAGCAATAAAAAAACAAAACATTATGAGTTGGGTTGCGCCCCTATTTTATTTACAAAGCCACTGGAATATATTACAATACATAAAAAAGAAATAAAAACGTTAAAAATTATTATTCATTCATCGCTTGAAGGTAAAATATATAAAAAGCCTTCTAAAAATAGTAATACCAGAATATTTATTATATAGGTGGTTTTATTGCAATAAATTATTTTTTTTAAATTAACGTATTATGTACTTAAAAAATATTTTCCAATATTTTGCAATTATTAATTTTTTTAATAATAATATTTATTTGGACAAAAACCTTGTCATTTTAATTATTAATTATTACATTTTTTCACAAAATTTTTCAAAAAATCACTACTAGATTTTGATAAAACACACAAAAAATTGAAGTTACCATTACCATAATATTAGCACCTTTGTAATAGCTGTTACTCAAATTCTCAGGATCCTGGTAAGAATTTAGGTACGCACTACTTTAAAGAACTACCCATATGTTTAATTATATATAAAATCATGTATGGGATAAAAAGCTACCATTAATATTCATTAAACGAAAAAAAGGATATTTTTAATCGCCAAACGAATTTTAATTTGAATTTCAATGACTTTTTGCATAAAATACCAGCTTAGGTCTAAATTCAATTACAAATCACAGCATTTTCCACTTAATTTTTAATACCCGCCATTTTGTATTTTAATATTCTATGCGGACACTGCTTATTTTTTAAAGGTATGCATTCAATAAAAATATTTGTGGGAAAAAGATCAAATAGAAAAAATGCATACCTATTTCTAAAATAAAAATACAAATTTTGGTAAAAAAATAATAATTTTGGTAAAAATATCTCGAGTTATTAGTTAAAACCATTGATTAAGGTGTCACTCAACGGTAAAACAATATGTAATTTCCCCAACTTGTGGATATATTAAGAAAATTAA